TCCTCCACAACTAGACTGAAGAACAAAAGGACAGCAACTTGTCTGTTCCCCTTCCCCGATTCCCCAACACTGTTCCCCTCCCCCAATTCCCCAATAAAATCTTTTTTTAAAAATTGGGGGTTCCTGGACCCCACCTCTGGAGATTCTGTTTTAGGGGTCTGGGATCTGGAATTTTAACAAGTCTCCCCCCCCACCCTTCCACCCACCCCCCACTCCCACCCACCCAGCCCCCAGTGCTTCTGAAGCAGGTGATTGGTAAGCACACTTCAGAGCCTAGGAGCCAGCCGCCATGCCTGGCACGAGAGGGGGTGCATGTGACCTTGAGGCTCTCTGCTGACTTCAGCTGTCCAGAAAGGGCAATGTAGTGACATTGATCCTCTACAGGAATTGGCTGTATAAACAAGGCACTTTCTTATCTGGCAGCAGTTATGAAAAGAGAAAGGAAGGAACGCAGGAAGGAAGGAGAGAAAGATCTAAGCGCATTCCATTCCCCAGAAAATAAGCCTGCCAGTGAAAATCCCAACCAGCCTGCCGTCTCGGACATTCTTTTTGTCTCTTAGCATTTGGCACTTGGACATCTGGTGCCCACAAACGGGACTGCATCTGCACGGCTTCTGGAATGTGGGAGGACTAAAGCTGGGCTCTGACTTTTCCAGACAGAGCTGCCGAGCAGAGCAGCGCCTGACCCAGAGTGAGTGACAGGCAAAGAGGAGGTCAGAGCTCCAGCATCTCCAGGCTGCCAGGCCGCTGCTCCAGGCCCTGAGTCCACAGCTTCCCCAGCCCAGAGCTGTGAGGATGGAGTTGTCTTTCCACAGGCTGGCAGAGCTGGTGGGCATGGCAGACTCTGCAGAAGGCGGAGTCCTAAGGACAAACAAACTTTCTGCACAAGAGACCAAGCATTCTTCTTGCCAGGAAAGTGCCATTAGATTTAAACTGGATGTTGGGGTCTAAGTAGGTAAGCGAAAGGGGTAAAATAAGACCTGAGATATTTTGAGTATAAAGAAAAATGTTCCTTTTGTAACTATGCTACATTTATTCTGCAACTAGGAGATAAAATGAGATTTCTGTGGGAAGCATGTATTGCGCTTTTTGGTGGCCTTAAAAAAAAACACAACAAATTTGTGCTAAAGATAAAAAGTTAATCATACTCCATAAAGCCAACTCCTATGACCACTGAAGAGACAGAATTTCCTTGAGACAGGGTGTGAAATTTGACATCAATCAGAACTTCTGAAAGAATGCTAAAAGAGGGGCCTTATAGGGGTTCCCAACCCTGAGGTATCTCACGGAAGCCTCTCCTTAGGAAGAACTTGACGTCACCATGGGAAGGGGTTGGGGCTAATTCACCAGGCTGTATTTCTTGGGCAGAACCAGGGTGATGCAGGGTAACGGGCTTACAGAAAATAGCTCAGGGCTGCCTTGTGCTTCCAACAAGTCTGTGCCTGGGTTTGTGCTTTAGGCACCGGCACACGCTTAACGCTACATGTCCATGCTGGCCGCTGCTGCCGAATGATATGCCCCTGGGTGTACCTCCACCTTCACGGGCATGTCATGTGTCTGCCACCCTCCCTCCCAGCTGCAGCGTGCGGCCTGTCTGTGAAGCTGAGGGCCACCACACCCCCTTCCTCATCCTTCTCCACCCTGGCCAACAGGCATATGGCTCATCCTTACCTCTGGGTGGTGACTGCAGCATGCACAGCTGAGTGGCACACCGGTTCTCCACTTGGAATTCACCCTGGCACAATCTTGGGAAACTAGGGAAGCATCAAATGCCTCCCATTACTACACCTCTGTTATTTTTCATAAAACCTCCCACCAGAGATGATTCCTCGCCACCATTTTTATTCCTTGTTTTTTAAAATGGGATGATCACACATTAATCATCTAAATTGAGACACTTCTAGTAAGGGAGACCTACTAATAATTATGCTGGGACTACAAGCATAGGCTGGGGCTATCCTGGGGAAACTGAGGCATGAGGGCATCCTACTTAGAGGAGTGGAACAAAAGACACATGAAGCAGAGTCCCAGCTGACCCCAGGTGACACAAAACATGAACAAAAAGTAACTTTTCTTGTAGTAAGTCACTGAGATTTGGGGGTTGTTTGTTATCACAATATAACCTAGCAAAAATTAGACGACTACACCCCCTTGTAGCAGTGTCACTTCTTCACCACCTCTGCGAAACGGGGTAACATAATTGCACCCACGTCATGGGGTGGTAGTCAGGATTAAATGAGTTAATATCTGCCAAACACTTAGAACAGTGCCTGGCATGGTGAACAGTCCACAAAAGCTGGCTGGTATTATTATTTGTAGCAACATAGGGGAATGAAGGCGCGCTCTGAGAACACAGGAAGCCCACTTTCGGGCAGAACATACCCTCGCTCCCGGCACACAAGCCGCTGCCCTTTCAGAAGTACAGAGGCCCTCACCCCTCTCAGGGTCAGCCCACCCCCACCAGCTCTATCCCGCGCACGTGACTCCACGCACCATCATCACCACTGCTTTCTCGTGGATACCTCAACTCCCTTGGCCTTCCGCGCCTTCCATCTCACCCAAATGACAAAACCTTAACCTTGAATCAATAGAACAAGCTACCATCTCTGCTCCGGAGCCCACAGGACTGAATGAAATCCAGGATTTGTTGCAAGTCCTTATGTAGGTTCTTTCTCCCATTTTCCACAAGCGATATTTCCAACTTTGACCTTTCTCAAGCTCCGTAACCCACCACCTTCCTCCTCATTCGAAAAGGACATAGAAGCCATTAGGTAAGGCACCTAAGTGGGCGCATTGTTCCCAATCCCCCCCCCAAGCCAACCCGCTTCTAGCTCTGGAACCCAGCCCCTCCCACCTCCTTAGGGTCTTCAACTGGTGGCTCCCAGCCCTTTGAATATAAATAAACACACTCGCGTGTGTCTCATTTGCCAAGAACTCCCTCCACCTGCTGCCCCTCTCCAGCCCTGTGTCTCTCCTCTTCACAGCCAGTGCTCCGTGCTCTGCTTGTTCACATCCATCTATTCCTTCAGCCCGCTGACCTCTGTACCCGGTCACTCTGCTAAATCTGCTCCTGCACAAGTCATCTTTGCTGCTAAAATAAACGGACGTATCTTCCCCCTTGGATTTAGCTCGCCTCTGCGGCCTCTGAGCTGCTTGGTTACTGCCTGCTCCTCGTGACCCACTCCCACCTGCACTCCCAAGAGGCTTCTTGCCTGCTTTCTCCTCTCTGGCTTCTCCGTCCCAGTTTCTGTGGGTTCCTCCTCTGCCCTCCCCCTTAACGCTGATGTTCCCCACGATCCTGCTGACCCTTTTCCCTTTTCTAAGGCATTAACTGCTGCTGCTAGGCTGAGAACTCCAGAGCCCATGTCGCTAGCCAGATCTTCCTCTGACTAGTCTGGCTGATTATTGGACGTCTCCCCAGGGGCTCTCACTAGCTCCTCAATCCCAAGATGTCCGCAGCCAAGCTCATCCTTTTGCCTGTCAACCCCAGCTTGCTTCTTGGACTTCTTACCACGAGTGAACGGCACGATAATTCACCCTCTGTCCAAGCCAGAGGCCTGGGGCTCATGCTCGGCTTTTCCCCTCTCTCTCCTCCCGCCAATCAAACAGCCTACCACCGGGTCTCCCTACGTCTAGTCTGGACTCTTCACATCTATTTTCTGTGCTGTTTACAAATGATAGCTCTTTCTCTGTGATCTTCAGAAGAAAGTCAAAACTCTACCGCCAAAACCCTAACTGTACACCTAACCTAATATCTTTAGACACAGCTCCTGTTGACCACTCCAACTGCATCTGTCTCATCTTTCAAACCTATCCACCAACATGCTCAACTACTTTCGATGCCCAGGCCATTGCATGTCTCATGACACCTCTGGGAGTTTGTATTTGCTGCTGCCCTGCTCAAGTGCCCTGTGCCCTGCTGCCCGCATGGTAAACCGCTCGTCTTCGAGGCCAGCGGTGCCCGGTCTGAGAAGCCCTCTCTCCTCACAAGTCTTCCGTCTCCCGGAGAGCTCCCGCCAGGTTGAGCTGGCTGCCCCTCAGATGCACTGAATTGCCCCTCTGACCTGCAGGCCTCCTCACTAACCTGTGACTTCATTTTTCAGGCAGGGACTGAGTCTCCTTGCAACTCCAGCCCTAGCACATTATCCACTGATGCTCAGCAAATGTTTCATGACTAAATGAACAGTGACAAATAGTCTCTTGGGCAGCAGCCTCCTCTCCTGGGGGGCAAGACTGTATACCTAAGAGGAGGAATAGCAGGCAACATTAAACATTTATGTGTATATACACACATGTAGTGAAGCACCTTTAAATAGAGGTCAGTGTGTGTGTGTGTGTGAGAGTGTGTGTGTGAGTGTATATGTGTGTGTGAGTGTGTATGTGTGTGTGTGTGGGTGTGTATAAAAGCATATACAGGTTATGAAAGATTATTCACTTTCCTTTACCTTTTTGTTCCCTTTACTTCTAAGTCCCCATGTCTCTTTCTATTGAGTCCTTGTACTAAGATAACTGTATTCTGCTCTTTCACAGCTGTACAGCCTGCACAACACAAGATTTCTCAATATGCTTCCTCAGTATTCAGGACAATATTCTCAAGACAGGTATTCTGAATAGGTAAGAATTCTACAGACCAGAAGATAATTGCCACTTCCTTACAGTCTCAATTTCCATTCAGTCTTCTTTTCTCTAAATTCAATGACCTCAACTCCTTTAGCTATTCCATAAATGATAATATGCTGGGTCAGCAAATTTAAATTTCTATTCTAAGTTATTATCATTTCAAATGAGATTTATAATTGGCACTTATTAGGATTGATTATTAATAGTCATGTTAATAACTCTCCTTCCACATTCAGATTGCCAAAGTGTGTTGTTGTTTAAAAAAGAAGCTTTCATCACACTGTTACGCATTTCCAATTCATGGTCATTCTTCCCGTCCCCAAGATCTTTATATGCCAAACCTGCGGTCATTCGAGTCATTTTTCATTTTGTCAGCTTAATTAATTTGAAGGTAACCTGGGTTTTATTGTGGAAAATTAATAATCCATGGATAATACTAAAATGTTTTAAGAATAGTTTTAAAATAATTAGCAATTTGTCATTCCACACAGCAAGATATATAACAAATAATTTTTTTAATTGTTATGATCATCTTTTAAAAAACAAACTATCTTGACATAGTTGTCATGCGGCATGAATTAGCATATGTCGGAATTATAAGATAAAAGGTAGATTAACAAGGACAAGTAATTTTTAAAATTGTCCTTTCAATTAGAAATTAGATGTTCAGAGTATTTAGTTTTCATCTATCACCATCATTGTTATATAGTCCTTGTAATGAATTGTATTCGATTCTGGATCAATTGCAGCAGATAGCATTTCTTCCATTTCCTCCTGAGAAAACGGCTCACCTGGGAAGGGCAAGAAAGGAGATTCATCATTTACAATCTTCTGGGGGTTTTTCTTTCCCTTTCCACTAGCAGCTTAATTGCCATGGAGCCCCCCCACCCCCCGCCCAGTTACTCTCCCTGGGGCTGGAGAGTCAGCACATCGGGACGGTCCAGGGGTTCCATGAGGATGCTGTTATACCCCTGGTGATTCGGGGCTTATTTTGCCTGCAGAAATCACAGCTCAAGCAACCCACAGAATCTGTCATTCCAGCCAAAACAGCAGAGGACATAAAGACATCATGAATAAGGTTGTTCGTTTTTTTAAATTAAAACTATTGAAATTGCCAAAGCATTAACCTGAAGTCCCAGTTTTATAGGAAGACTGAACATTATATTTAGTAAGGGTATGAAGAGAGGATGAAATGGTTGCTATACAAAATTGCTGAAGAGCAGGTAACAAAGACTTGAAATTGGAACAATTATGTCTCTGAATATTCTCTAACCAGGTCTGGCCAATATGGTGATGCCAGCTGAACCCAGTGACAGATGCTATTCATCATCCATTTCAAAACAGATCTTTTTGTTATAGTTTGGCCCAGTGTTGCCATCTCATAAAACCAAAAGTTGGATAGAAAATCTGTGGGCTTTACTTGGATTCAGATAACAGCTGAGGGCCAGCATGGATATGTTTCACCCAGATGAGAAGCAAACTCAGGAAGAATATTGGAAAGGCTGTCAACTAAGATAGAACTTGGTCCTCATATTAAGCAAAAATACAGAAATATCCAAGTAGCCACCTTACCTGTAAAAAGTCTTATCCAAGCAGGTAAGTTACCAAGGCGTGTGGAGTACCTACGTTCGGGGCTTAGGTCACCTGCTGCTACAAACACTGCTTTCTAAATTGGAATTTAGTTAATGATCTAGAAATTATTCAAGTGGGGATTTTGATGACAACGATAATAGTATTATTAAACAAGGGGAATATGCTGCGTTCTTTTGAAATCATGCTTACATCCTAAGAAAAGAAAGAACGCCTTAAATGCCTAAAAAGACAAATTCTGAATCTTTTGTATACCTAATCGTTACAATATTAAATCTGCTGCCAATGAACTTCAGTGGGCACCATGTAAGTCCTTAAAAGAATACTAATAACAAACATTTATTGAAAACTACTGCCAGGCACGTATCTAAGCGCTTCATGTATACGCGTACTAACTAAGTTAATCTCCCAACCTCCTCGTGAGAGGTAAAAACCGTCAGCCCCACTTACAGTGAGGACACCAGCAAACACAGAAGCCAGTGGTAGAACTGGGATGTGAAGGTCAGCAGTCCAGCTCAAGGTCCATGAACTCAAGGACCAAACTGTATCTCTGAGAACAAAGCCCTGCCCACAGTAAGTTACAGAGGCTCCCTTGGGTAAGGAAAGAGATACGCAGCATTTGATTACAGATGGGAGGAAAATCGCTTAATGATTAAAAGCACATATTTGAAAGCCAGACTGCCTGGGCTCAAATACTAAGTTGTCTCATTAGCTTTAAGATCATGGGCAAGTCACTTAACCTCTCTGTGCCTCTGAGAAATAGAGGTGACAAAAATACTACCTATCTCATAGGGTTGTTCTGAGGGTTAAAAGTGTTGCTATTTGAATAGTACTTAGAACACTGTCTGGCACATAAGTAGCATCATGTGTTAGCTTAAAAAAATATTTTTTGAGCTCTTCCCTGCTGCTAAATACTGTGTGACACGATACACATGCCTGGACACATGTGGACTCCTATCTTGTAGGAACTTGATTCGATGTGATTTCTTATGTTTATCATATGACATCCTGGGCATTCAGAAAGCGCCTTCTCAAACTGATTGATATTCTGTGGATATTGTGCAAAGCTGAGTTGTCTCTGCATCCAACGCAGTCCATTCCTGACTTCCCTATGTCAGTCAGTAGCATTACATAACATCCATCCTCCAGGTCAAAGCCTCATTCCTTGTGACTCAGCTCCCATCTTTGTCGCCTGCACTCTGTTACTCATCGTGACCCGTGGATCCCGCTGGAGCCAGTCTTGTTGCATCAGTCTCTGCTTTCCTTCCCATTGCCGGCGCCAGCCCAGGCCCTTATTAGGGCAGCTTCCAAATGCTGAAGTAGCCTCCTAGCCGGTCTCCGTAGTCTAACCTCTTCTCCACTCATCTAACCAACCTATCAACACCAGATTAACCTTCCCACAATCCCTCTTGCTGTGTGATTCATCTGCTCAAAGCCCAACAGTGCTTCTCCATTGCCCACAAGATAAATTTTAAGCTGCTGAGCCCAGGCCTCCACAACCTACTCCCAGTAGATCTACCCAGACTCACTTCCTACTGTTTGCCAGCAAGGCCCTCTGGGCCCCTGTCTCCTCACAGACTCCCCAAATGTGCTCATTCCTGCCTCCCAGTTTTTGTTCAGACTGTTTTTTCCAGCTATGTCTTCCTCTCATTGACTCCTTCACCCACTCTTCATTTATCTATTTGTTCATTCATTAATTCAACAAACATTTGTTGAGACTTACTCTGTGTGCGTATGGGGGGGAGGGGATATAATTCATAAGATTTTACCCCTGCTTTTGATAACTCACCCACATAAATTCTACCATCTTAAATAACCGATTTTCTCTTCAAGATTCCCAGACCAAGCTTTCCAGGCTTATACTAATTTTTTTCCATTGTCTTATATTTTTGAATTATTTTATAAGTTAGGTTTACTTCCCTAAATAAGATTATAATATCCTTGAGAAAGGGAACAGATTTTAGTGTCTTTACTTCTCACCATACTTCGTACCCTCGTCATACCAATGACATTAAACTCTTCTGGCTACTTTGACTAAATTCATATTGTCTAATATAATCTAGGATTTACTTTCCTGAAATTAATCCATAGGATTAAGAGGCTGATGCTTTGAAAGTCATAACATTTCCATCAAAGTTAATCCCTAAGATAATTTTCACAATGTTGTAAACTCTTGGGTGGCAGCTATGATTCTCAGATCATTCTCTCATTTCCTGCATTCTCACCTAAAGATGGATCAAGTCCAACCAATTGCACATGGAGATGCAGTCTTAGCCTTCCCTATTCAAAATCACTTGCACTTTTGATGCTGTCACAAGTGATTAGCAACTCTAAATCATTCAGGACTCAATCTGTGAACCAGCGAATTGAACCAGAGACAGAAGTCTAACTTTGTATGGAAGCAGGATGGTGACCAATATAAGAATGGACAACAGAATGTCCATTAGGCTACTAACATTCAGAGAAAACAAATTTACACATCAGCCTAAGCAGAAAGAATTCCTAAAGGAAATATGTTGGCATACACAGGTGCATAGGTATTATGTGTAAGTGTGTGTATATGTGTGTATAGTTCAAGTTCAAAGCAAATCTAATGGTTCCATTAGTATAAAAAACTGAAAATTTTCATGTGAATTCATAGTCAATTGAGGCTATATTATCTGTAACCTCACCAACCAAAAAGCTCTATAAAAATGAATTTTTATATACTCCAATTCAAATCTTTGATCTAGTAACAGGCATTAATTTATAGTGATTGACAGTTCATGTTTTCCAGGTGGCATACCTTTAATTCTGGAAATACTCTAAGTGAAAGAAATGCCTTCAACTTGTAGTATCATTATACTTTACAAAATTCTATAAGGCAACAATCCATCACCCCTAAACCTACTTTTTTTCCTCTCACCCACCACAACACAGAAACCACCCCAAAACCAAAATAATAGAAATAGTCAATAACTCTTTTTAACCGGAATGATTGATTTTAAAGTATCCCCTATAATTTTTGCACACTTGTTGTTAAATTATCAGTCACTTATATGTCACTGTTATAAGTAATAAATCGCTCTTACCTTCTTCAGTCATATATTTGATCAGTTCTTCCTTAGAAAGAAACCCACGTTTAGCTGTATCTAATACCTAGGAGAAAAGAAAAGATAGATATTATATTTTTGTTTGGTAAATAAATTCTACATGATGAATTTTTCATGTAATTGTAAATATATATAAAATCTGGAGCTTACACACCTCAAAGGCTCGAAGAAGGATATCTTCTGGAATTGGTCTGTATCTAATTATACAATAAAAGGAGTAAATGCCACTGTATTTAGTTCAGTCTCTACATAATAAATAATCACATAAAACGAAACAAAAGCTGCTAACATACTAGAAAAATAATACTTCCCTCCCTGAAATCTTTTTGGATTTCTAGATATGAAAGTTGAAAGCACTCCACACCCACAGGAAACATTTAGTTCAAAATCATTGGCATGTTTCATGTTACCTATTAGCTTTTTTCATCTTTATGGAAATCAGTGTATCTGAGGACAAAATTTCTACAATAAACCAACTATAGCTAATGCTAAACTTTCTCTAGAAAAATAATTAGGGTTAATTTTTCTTTACACTGATAATTCGAAATAGAAGATAGTAAGAATGTTGTTGATTTATGCTTTTGGTAGCTTATTTGCCATTTAATTACACTTTGCTTATTAGGGTGATACTGAAGTGGTTCGGATTTCTAAGCAAATCCAACCGGCAGTTCAGAAATACAGTGAAAAGTCAGATGGACGCTTTCCAGGGATAAAGACTGGTTGAGTATAATAGACAAAGTGAAAAGGCCAAGTGATTTAGAATTAATGTAATTCTAAGCATTACCTTACCTTAACAACTGCACTCACTTTCTTACCTTCTTTCCGTTAGTACATTGGTCATCACTGGAAGAAATTTTTCAAATCGAATGTATCCAGTGGGTTCTTCTTCCTCTATCTAAATATTCAATTAAAAAATAGCCACTTATTCATTCAACAGATGTACTGAGCAGCTACTTTTTCCAAGCACTGCGCCAAGTGTTTGGGATTTGATAATGAGCATCCCTGGGCACAGTCTCTGCTCACAGAGTTTATTATATTCTGGTAGTGGAGACATATATTAATCAAAAAAACAACAAAGCTGAGTGTCTAATTATAAGTTTATGTAAGCACAGTGAAGTAAAGCAGCATGGGTCTGTTAGAGCATAAATAAAGGAAACTTTCTAGGCCAGGAGATCAGGGAAGGCATTCATGAGAAAAATCACACTTGAGCTGATTTACAAGGGATGAGTAGTTGTCATTAGAGAAAGCCAGCAGGGAGCAGACTCCCAAGCAGAGGAAATTATATGCACTGAGATCCTATGTGATGCATTGGAGACCTGGAGGCCGGTGCATAAAGAGCAAGGAGAGTGTTGCTGATGAGGCTGGCGGGAGAGCAAGGACCAGGCCTTGCAGGGCCTTATCGTCCATGGCAGTGACTTGGTCATTATCCTAAGACCAATGAGAAATCACTGATGGTCTCATACATCGCGCAGGGAAGATTATACGAATTGCAGGTGAGGCGGCTTCCGCAGTAATAATTGAAGGGCTTGGATTAGAGTGGAGGCCATGGGGAGAGAAGTGGATGGTTCCAAGAAATATTTTAAGAGGTAAAATCAATAGGACCTGGTGCTGCATCTATTATGAGCAAGTGTGAGAAAAAAGAGAGGGTCAAGGGCAACTCCCAGGGTTCTAACTTGCACAAATGGGATGGAGGGATGTTTTTCCCTAAGAACACTGGATAAGAGACCAGGCTCGGGGACCAACCATTATCTCAAGGACCAAAGCACGTATCAGGTCACTGTAGTATTTATTACATACCCATTGGGTTGTCGCAAAAGTCATGATGCATTTTTGCAACGAAAAACATAGAAAAATATGTCATGATTTTTCCGTCAACCCAACAGATGGTCAATGGAACTTTGTTCTACCACCACTAAGGAAGAGAACACTACACCTGGAAAGAGAATTGTTGGAACCCAGCACTATTAGATGATAGTGGGGAAGACTGCTGCCCATAGGTTCAACTCTGGCAGTGTGGCTGAACAAAACACCACTGATCTTAACTTTCATGTCAGGCTATTTTGCAAGAAGCTGTAAATTTTCCACTCCCTCTCAAAAATCCTACTCAAAGGCTCATAGATCCCAACTCAACAGAAGGGCTTTTAACAGACATATTCTTTGAGCAAAAAATAAGAAACCTATAGGTTACTGCTAAGTGGTACACACTGTCATCCAAATGACAACTGTTTTTTGAATGTTTATACTAGATTCTCACCGACTAGGAGTGGAGTCCTCAGACTCCACTATCAGCAGAATATGTCCTCCATCCAATGACTGAATGAGGGCTAATGAATAAAGCTTTGTGGTTCAAAAGCAAAAAGAAAAGTAAGTTCATTTTCCACTTGGGCAGATTGTAGAAATCTTTCTATGACCCAACACTGTCCTCTAGAGGCCACATCGTATCTATTCTTTGGTACAAAAAGATATCTAAGCAATGGCATAAAAACAAGACAATTATATGATAATTCTGAATATAGCATAATGGACTGTTTTATATAAACCAGACGCTATTTTATATTATAAATGGTTTTTAAATATCTAAATAAACTTCTGATTTTAGAATAGTTTTATATTTATAGAAAAGTTGCAAAAATAGTACAGAGTTCCCACTGCCTCCAACCCAGTCTCCCCTACTGTAATCTTTTATATTACCGTAGTACGTGCAACTATAACTGGTTCACTGTCATTGCTAATGCAGCAATATTGATACATAATTCTTCACTAAACTCCACACTTTTTTGGATTCCATTCTTTCATCTAAAAGGCATTTTAAAAATATGGTATTTTCAGTATAACTATTGCACTGTGTTGTACAGCTGAAACTAATTCTAAAAAAAATGTGTATTTCATAATAAAAATAAAAGAAAAAAATATGGTATTTTCCTCTAACGTAACAGAGAAACAAGAGTAGAACAGAATACAACATCTGGGAATCTGGAAACAGGTGTGCGGAGATGCAAGGATAAGAGGTGGTTCTATTATTTCTGGGGCAGAACAAGCTAGTTAACTTTATGAGGCCAGTAAGATAAGACAAACACACTTCTTTCTAGAAACGTTTGTTACTTAGTAATGGCTCAATGATTATTTAAATCCATGTATTAAAATGACATTAAGATTTAATACAAATATATAAAATATTTAACCACATATATACAAATATACATATATAAACCACAAAAATATAGTGGGCATATATATGTATATATATATATATATATATATATATATACAAAGAGAGAGAGAGAGAGAGAGTGTTAAATTGAGTTGTATCCTCCCCAAATTCCTGTTTAAGTCCTAACTCCAGTATGTCAGAATGTGACTTATTTGGAGATAAGGTATTTACAGAGGTAATCAAATTAAAAGGGTCATTAGGGTATCCTTATAAAAAAAGGGAAATTTGGACACACAGACATGCACACAGGAAGAACGCCATCTGCAAGGGAAGGGGAAAGGCCCTGAGCAGACCCTTCCTTCCCTCACGGCCACCAGAAGGGACCGGCCCTGCCACCATCTTGATTTTGGATTTCTAACTCCAGAACTGCGAGATAGATTTCTGTTGTTTAAGCCACTGTTTGTTATAGCAGAACTATTTGTTACAAATAAAATATACATATGTATATATACACATATACACACACACACACAAACACATATATATACATATATGTGTGTGTGTGTATATATATATATATATTCTAAATATGTATGGCACATTTTAATCCGAAGACTTTGAATCACTGTCATCAAGCATAAGCCCCTACACTTATCTACTGGAGATTGGCAAAGCAGATATTCAAACTTCAGAACTGACTTTACAGAGTTGATACAGAGAAAATGGTGCAGTTCAGACCTACTTTCTCTAGGAGAAAACTCAATTAACCAACTTATAATGAAATGAATTCAAGAAAGATTCCCTAAATTACAGCAGACATTTTCGAAAAGACTAGAGATTCATTGCCATTTTTTCACTCACAGCAAAATCATACTGGGAAAATCCACTTAACTTCGGTATTAATCAGGGTCTTTTTAAAAAGTTGTTGCCCTTCTCGTAGAAAAATATCACAATATATTCACCACGTCAGACCAAAGGTAGTTTAAAATATCCTGATTAAAATTCATCCCCTAGCTTCAGTGGCCTCATTTGTAATATAGGGAGAACAGCACTATCTACTTACACGGTTTAGTGAAGGTTACACGTGATAACATGAAGAAGCTTCATGAACCGTGAGTCTATTACGATGATTATTATTGCTATCAATAATGTACACACTTTCAGCTCTATATCATGCAATGACACCTCCTCCTGAAAGAATCAATTTCTGGTGATAAAGCTTCAGACACATCATCCTTGACCCACCATACGGACCTAAATGTCAATATGGAAGTTTGGTCCTGCCTCCCTCCTATCTGTAAATTGCAGCATGGAATGTGGCAAAAATGTATTAAATTGCTAGCAGATAGGGTATGTGGATTAGCAGTGAGGCCTCCATCTCTGCTGTTTCCCTGCCTGACTCTTTGGACTGATAGGAGAGCCACCAAACATATCCCGCCTCTTCAAAAGACAAAACAAACAAAACAAATACATCTTCTTATTGCAAACAGGAATGAGGCAAAGGAAGTTATAATCTAGTTTGTTTCATCTAAGAGAAGGGCAAATG